GCCGCAGGGGCAGCGTGTGGCGCTGAGTAGGGCTGCGGGCAGCGCCGAGGCCAAACCCTCAGCCCTCGATGGCTTCCTGTCTCAGAGGCCAGGCCGCTTTAGAGCTGCTCTTACACACGTGCACACACACGTGCACACACATGTATTTTAGCTGATTTTTTGCAGCCTCATCGCGGCGGCCGGGCGAGCTGGGCACGGCCCCTCCCAATCTGCTGAGCCCTGTGGGCCGCTCCCACGGCGCCGGGTGCAGGAGAGGAATGTGTTCGGCAGCTGCCGGGACGCGGCTATTTATGTCCCGGAGATTAAGCCCGTAAATCCCCCGTGTCCGCACCGGCCTGTTCTGTGTCTCATCCATCAGCTCAGTGCTGGGGCCGGGGAGCTGGGCTCGGCCTCTCTGCTGGGTCCCTGCCTTTCCCGCCAGCGCTCACCCCGGTGCCGGGTGCCGGGCGGCTCAGGGTCCTCGCAGGCCCCACCACCCACCCTCTCAGCGTGGGGTGGGGGCCGTGCTAGCAACGTCCACGTCTCCGCCTGCCCTGTGGGTGTTCGTACACAGATGGGGTTACACACCGATAACCCACCCTGTGTTGAAAATACCGTGCCCAACACTCAGCGGTTGAGCGTCGACCTATGAACCAGGAGGTCACGGTTCGATTCCCGGTCAAGGGCACATGCCCAGGTTACGGGCTCGATCCCCAGCAGCGGGCGTGCAGGAGGCAGCCGGTCCATGTTTCTCTCTCATCACTGATGTTTCTATGTCTCTCCCTCTCCTCTCTGAAAGCAATAAACCCCACATGTCTCTATATATAAAAGCCTAATGTGCAAAGTGTCCCCTTGGGCGTTCGACCAACCAGGAGTTTGATCGCTTGCTATGTCGTGTGCTGACCACCAGGGGGCAGCACGGACCGAAGGACGGCTCCTGCCAGCAGCCGCTAGGGACCTGCCCTGCGTGAATTTTGTGCACTGGGCCTCTAGTATATATACATGCACACACATATGTACACACACACACACACACACACGCATGTGTATGTATAAGTTACTTTCTCGTGACTGATTTACCCCGTCTCCACCCGCTTCCTGGCTCTCCGTCCCTCTGCAATTCGGGCCTCCCATTGGGAGTATTTGCTCCAGCCCGAGGCACAGCCCTAGCATTTCCGTGGGTCGGTGTGTGCTGATGGCAAACTCCCTCTTCTGTTTGCTTTTAGTTCTTTGTGCTTTTTCTCCTGCTGTGAACGTACTTCCCAGCTCCTCTCACGGCAGGTGGAGTGCCAGGTGGGCAGCCTTCCCTCCGGCTTCTGGACCTGTTGCTTCTGTCGGAAGGTCGTTTGCTCCTTGGATGGGATCCCCTTTTTGTTTCATTTTATTGTGACTGTTTTTTTTAAAAAATATATATATTTGCCGAAACCAGTTTGGCTCAGTGGATGGAGCGTCCTGCGGACTGAAAGGTCCCGGGTTCGAATCCGGCCAAGGGCATGTACCTGGGTTGCGGGCACATCCCCAGTAGGAGGTGTGCAGGAGGCAGCTGATCGATGTTTCTCTCTCATCGATGTTTCTAGCTCTCTATCCCTCTCCCTTCCTCTCTGTAAGAAATCAATAAAATATATTTTTAAATATTTTTAAAAATGCGGTTTATGTAACTCATTTGGATGTAATGGAATCTTGGTGACTATGATTTCTGCTACAAAATGTGACTTGGGCTAAGAGATTCCCCTTCTGACCCCAGCAGGTAGGATGCAGACCCATGACTAATGTTCAGATAGGTAGATGGTTTTAAAGCTTGATTTAGACATATAAAGTTTAAAATTCATTTCCTATGACATTGACTAGTGGCAGGGATTGTGTACTCTGTCAGTGGGGAGCTACTGACATAAATGGAATAAGTATACTGATGATGCCAAGAAAGGTATATTTCCCAGACTACGCATGGAGTGTGGCCTTGGCTGGGTTTCCTACTTCCTAAACCAGTGATGGCGAATCTTTTGAGCTCAGCGTGTCAGCATTTTGAAAAACCCTAACTTAACTCTGGTGCCGTGTCACATATAGAAATTTTTTGATATTTGCAACCATAGTAAAACAAAGACTTATATTTTTGATATTTATTTTATATATTTAAACAGGTGTGTCCGCTCAGGTGTGTGAGCTCGGGTGTGTCAGCTCAGGTGTGTGAGCTCAGGTGTGTCCGCTCCGGTGTGTGAGCTCGGGTGTGTGAGCTCAGGTGTGTGAGCTCGGGTGTGTCAGCTCCTGTGAGTCCGCTCAGGTGTGTGAGCTCAGGTGTGTGAGCTCAGGTGTGTCTGCTCAGGTGTGTGAGCTCAGGTGTGTCCGCTCAGGTGTGTGAGCTCAGGTGTGTGAGCTCAGGTGTGTGAGCTCGGGTGTGTCCCCTCAGGTGTGTCAGCTCAGATGTGTCAGCTGCTGTGAGTCAGCTCAGGTGTGTGAGCTCAGGTGTGTCCGCTCCGGTGTGTGAGCTCGGGTGTGTGAGCTCAGGTGTGTGAGCTCAGGTGTGTCCGCTCCGGTGTGTGAGCTCGGGTGTGTGAGCTCAGGTGTGTGAGCTCAGGTGTGTCCGCTCCGGTGTGTGAGCTCGGGTGTGTGAGCTCAGGTGTGTGAGCTCAGGTGTGTCCGCTCCGGTGTGTGAGCTCGGGTGTGTGAGCTCAGGTGTGTGAGCTCAGGTGTGTCCGCTCCGGTGTGTGAGCTCGGGTGTGTGAGCTCAGGTGTGTGAGCTCAGGTGTGTCAGCTCCTGTGAGTCCCCTCAGGTGTGTGAGCTCAGGTGTGTCCCCTCAGGTGTGTCAGCTCAGGTGTGTCAGCTCCTGTGAGTCCGCTCAGGTGTGTGAGCTCAGGTGTGCATGGCTCCGTTCCCGTTGCAGATCCCGGTCAGGTGGACTCGGCGCGTGCACTTGTAGATGGCTCCACGCCCCCCACTGCGCATCCGTGTGGAGAAGGAGTCTCCCGCCCAGGCTCTAACCGAGGTGTCACTGTCTTTCTCGCAGGTTCAGACGAAGAAGGAGGAGGCCCGGCCGCCGGCCGCCAGCCAGAGCATCCCCACCTTCTACTTCCCCCGGGGCCGCCCGCAGGGCACGGCCGACAGCGACGCCATCATCGCCAGGATCGAGAGCACCTTCGCCCAGTTCCCGCACGAGCGGGCCACCGTGGAGGACATGGGCAAAGTGGCCAAGGTGGGTCCCACGGCTGGCGCGGCCTGTTCATGGCTGTGCATCCTCACAGCCGGGCGGGGTCTGAGTCCTGCCCGCGTCAGGCCTTCAGGCCAACACGCAGGACCTGCTGTCACACTGTGCGCCCGTCGTCTTGGGGTTGGGCTTTCCTTCCAGCCGCGTGTGTGTGGCTCAGGGTCACCGTGTGGACGTGCGGACACAGCAGGTTCTTTAGCGTCTGCGCGCCGTCCCTGGAGGACTCACCCCTGACCCGACCTCCTTCCCCGGGTGCCTGTGCCGCCAGGGAGCCGTGTGCCGGCCCCTCGGCGTTTTTCTGCGGCTCAGCTGGAGGTGCAGCCCTCACCTCCCTCCTCAGGCAGGTGCCTCATGTGTCGCCTGAGCCCAGCGCATGCAGGTCCACCCCCTTCCTTCCCTCTCCTGTGCCCTGTGTGCTGTCTCCGTGACCGTCCGTGTGAGGTCACGGTGTCCAGACTCACCCCAACCCGTGTTGTCACGGTGACCGTCCGTGTGAGGTCACGGTGTCCGGACTAACCCCGACCCATGTTGTCATGGTGACCATCCGTGTGAGGTCACGGTGACCGTCTGTGTGAGGTCATGGTGGGTCCGGACTCACCCTGACCTGTGTTATCACGGTGACCGTCCGTGTGAGGTCACGGTGACCGTCCGTGTGAGGTCACGGTGTCCGGACTAACCCCGACCCGTGTTGTCATGGTGACCATCCGTGTGAGGTCACGGTGACCGTCCGTGTGAGGTCATGGTGGGTCCGGACTCACCCTGACCCGTGTTGTCATGGTGACCGTCCATGTGAGGTCACGGTGTCCGGACTAACCCCGACCCGTGTTGTCATGGTGACCATCCGTGTGAGGTCACAGTGTCCGGACTCACCCCGACCCGTGTTGTCACGGTGCCCGTCCGTGTGAGGTCACGGTGGCCGGACTAACCCCGACCCGTGTTGTCATGGTGACCATCCGTGTGAGGTCACAGTGTCCGGACTCACCCCGACCCGTGTTGTCACGGTGCCCGTCCGTGTGAGGTCACGGTGGCCGGACTAACCCCGACCCGTGTTGTCATGGTGACCATCCGTGTGAGGTCACAGTGTCCGGACTCACCCCGACCCGTGTTGTCACGGTGCCCGTCCGTGTGAGGTCACGGTGGCCGGACTAACCCCGACCCGTGTTGTCATGGTGACCATCCGTGTGAGGTCACAGTGTCCGGACTCACCCCGACCCGTGTTGTCACGGTGCCCGTCCGTGTGAGGTCACGGTGGCCGGACTAACCCCGACCCGTGTTGTCATGGTGACCATCCGTGTGAGGTCACAGTGTCCGGACTCACCCCGACCCGTGTTGTCACGGTGCCCGTCCGTGTGAGGTCACGGTGGCCGGACTAACCCCGACCCGTGTTGTCATGGTGACCATCCGTGTGAGGTCACAGTGTCCGGACTCACCCCGACCCGTGTTGTCACGGTGCCCGTCCGTGTGAGGTCACGGTGGCCGGACTAACCCCGACCCGTGTTGTCATGGTGACCATCCGTGTGAGGTCACAGTGTCCGGACTCACCCCGACCCGTGTTGTCACGGTGCCCGTCCGTGTGAGGTCACGGTGGCCGGACTAACCCCGACCCGTGTTGTCATGGTGACCATCCGTGTGAGGTCACAGTGTCCGGACTCACCCCGACCCGTGTTGTCACGGTGCCCGTCCGTGTGAGGTCACGGTGGCCGGACTAACCCCGACCCGTGTTGTCATGGTGACCATCCGTGTGAGGTCACGGTGACCGTCCGTGTGAGGTCACGGTGTCCGGACTCACCCCGACCCGTGTTGTCCTGGTGCCTGGGCTGCGTTGGGGGTCGGCCTGAACGCGGGAAGTGGGGGTGTGCAGACTGGTCCTCAGGACGGCTGGTCCTGGGTCCCTGAGTCCACGTGGATCTGAGCATCGGCTGTCGGTGTCAGGGCCGCCCGGCGAGCCCGAGCTGGCGCTGCGTGTGGCTGTGGAGCGTGTGCGGCTGAATGGCGCGGCGTCCTCCCTGCTCCTCGTGCGATGCCTCCGTCCGGTCCCAGGTCCGAGTCCCCCAACACGGCTCCTCATCCGCAGTGTGAGCGTCCCACGCCGTCTGTTCTTTGTTCCACGGCATCTTCTCCTCCGCGTGGCTGTGGCAAGGGAGTCGTCTGGG